ATTATATTTTCGAAAAAATTTTTAAAAATATTAATTGTCCAAAAAGTTATAATAATGTTATTTTTACAGCTCACTCTTCAATTATTATTTTGCGATTGTGTAATTTTATAATTTAATTTTTGTCAGTCTCGGCGTGATTTTCGATTGCAAAGAAATACTTGTTCCATGTTGATTAAAAATTTTCAAAATAATGAAATATATATAGCGTACTGCAGAGAAGATCATGGTGGTACGCGAATTTCTGCAGAAATTCACATTTTATCATTTGTGTGGTTAGTAAGTTTCTAATTACAAATAGGATTTTCCTGTACTATAAAATATGATACAGAACAACAATTCAAATCGAAAAGTCCTGAACCATTTTTTGATTTGAGCTTTGTTATATGATGTTAAAGTTAACTAATCAACGCCTGTCTACAACGGAAAACAGAGAAGATACGACGGCGGTCGGAGTAGCGAGACGGCTTTCTGGTGTATAGACATGCGCTGATTAGCTAACTTTAACACCACATAACAACGAAAAGAAAGCTCAGATCAAAAAATGGTTCAGGACTTTTCGATTTAAATTGTTGTTCTGTATCTGATAGTGTTGTCCATATGCGTTTGTTTAGTTACACCCTGTATATAATGATATAACTAATGACAGTTACTTTCAAGGTCAATTTTAAGGTTGATAGAGGCACTTTCAGAAAAAACGTTTGATACAAAAGTTCCTTATTTTTTCACGTACGATTCGAATCTGTAATAAAAAGTACTATGTTCCCCTCAAAAAATTCAACTTACGATCCGGATGGCGTATTTCCCGTCGGAATCAAAAGTTGAAAATATCACCGTTCGATAGAGCATACCCGATTTACTTAAAAAATGTTCGCGATTTTTGATAAAAGCCATTTATTTTCATTTTAAAAGGGGTGTACGAGTGGTCTGGGAAACCCTGTATATATACATATGTTATTTTCTTCTTCTTCTTCTTCGTATTGGCTAAAAGACCTCCAAGCGGATTTGTCCATACACCATCAACTAGATACTGCTGTAAATCAATTGGTCATATGGATAGGTTATCCTCCTGACGAAATTGTGCAAGAGATGATATACTCTAGTGTCGCTAGTGAAAGCCAGTGTCTGTACATCTAGTGTAATGTTGGGGTTGATTTTTTATAGTCCATAGATGAGTAAATTAGAGCTGTCAGATGTGTTACGGCAACCAAAGAAGATGTGATTCAAGTCTTGAAAAGAATGCCCGCATAGACATTCTAAAGAGTCACTGATACTCTTTCTCCAAAGATGACCCATAGTTGCAGTATGGTTAGATCTCAGTCTTAAAACTAGTGTGATTACAGGTCTGGAAAGTATCTTCTTGATCTTTCTATTAGTGTACCAAGGAGGTGAAAGAATGTCGAGCTTATGCGCAAAGTATTTGGTTCCTTTAAGAAGACTCTCCATTTGGATAACACGAGTGGCTCTACTCTTTGAGAGAGATTTAAATCTAGAGTAAAGGTTGGTATAATGGCACTTACTCAAAAGAAGAGGATCAGGGAGATGCAGAGATTCCTTAGCCAAAATGTCAGCCCTCTCATTACCGTATATCCCCCTATAACTAGGTATCCAGATAATATGGATTTCCAGTGATTGCTTAGAGCATTCAAAAAGAGAGCCTCTGATTAATAAATTTAAGGATTTTAGGAGGAAGACCATATTTATCCAAAAGAGCTATAAGAATCTCCGGTCTGATCCTGTCAAACGCTCCAACTATATCCAGGAATGCTACGCCCGTATATTTTTGGGATTTATTAGAAATATGAATATTTGTAATTAGAGTGGCAATAATATCCATACAGGATAGCCCCTTTCTAAAACTGAATTGAGTATTAGACAGTATCAAACTGTTCTCCGCCCACCATTCAATTCTCTTATAGATAAGTTTTTCAAATAATTTTAAGAGGTTGTTAGCAAGAGAGATGAGTCTGAGAGAATCTCTGCGGCCTGGCTTAGGAATAAATACAAGAAAGTATTTTGACCATTGTTGAGAAAAATGCTTTTATTAAACATTAGATTAAACAATTTCAGAATATAGATGTGTAATTCTGGTGGAAATTTTTTTATTATCCTATTAGAGATCAGATCAGGACCGGGAGAGGATCTAACTTTTAAAGTAGAGATTGCTTCATTATATTCATACTTAGAAAATGGAGTGAGAAGAAATTCTTTATTTACGTCAGTGTCGATGTTATGGATTGTTGAAATAAAGTTTTGGAGATTAGGGAGTAAGGATTGGAGGAGACAGCTTGTTGAAAGCTTCGGTAAATGACTTTACAGAGATAGAAGAGTGCGGGGGGTTATTTGAATTTCTATTAGAAAAAGCTTTGATGTATTTCCACACTGTGGTTATAGGAGTATTCATATTAAGTGAGGAGCAGAAATCGCGGAAAACAAGCTTCTTTTTTCTTACAAAGAATTTTTTTGTTTGTTTTCTACATTCTAAATATTCCGAAAGACTTGAAGATGAGGGGGATTGTTTAAATCTATGAAAAATTTGATTTTTTTTTAAATGATGTCTACGGGACCTACACTCGTTATCCCACCAAACAGTAGGGAGTTTTCTCCTGACGCCATTGGCAGGCAGCTCTCTAGCTCCAGCCCCAGTCAGTGAGCCATGAATAGTCTCAATTAAGTTATTATAGTCTTCACTCAAATCACCACTAAACCTGTACTCCCGGTCTACAAATTTGGTGCATTCCAGTTGGAATACTTGCCAATCTACTCCAGCTAACGTAAATGAAGGGCCGATGAATTTTGGCGCGAGCTTTGCATTGAATGCGTTTGCTCTGTTGGATAGCGGGTAGTTTCGCTTTCACACATATTCGCTTAGCTTTGGTCGCCATTCTCGTCGTCGTAGGTCGTAATATCGCTGTTGTCGCTGGAATCCCCTGGCCAGGTTGATGCGGACGACTTCCTCGGCGTCCCGGAGTTGTTGTCGGACGATGTCGGGTTCTGGGGCATCCGTAGGTGTTGGGAGGGCGGGGGCGGGTGGTACTAATTCGCGGCCGTGATTCAGGTACGCCGGTGTGTACCCCGTAGCGTCGTGCGTGGCGGTGTTGTATGCGAACTGTAGTGCGGGGATCTGTTCGTCCCATTCGCGGTAGTCGCGATCGACGTATTGTGCTACCATCGTTTTGACCGTCCGGTTCGTACGCTCCACTGGGTTACAATGTGGGGCGCGGACGGGTGCGGTGCGGTGTTCTACGTTGAAGCCTCTAAGCCTTTCGGTTAGCGGTGCGGATTTGAACTGTGTCGCGTTGTCGGATATAATAATATCGGGACGGCCGTGTCGCAGGATTATTCGTTCGGTTATCTCGCGGGTTACGGCCTTCGCTGTGGCGTAACGGTATTAATTCGGCCCATTTTGTGAACCGATCTTGCATGACCAACAGCCACACGTGACCGCGACGTGATCGTGGAAGCGGGCCCACGAAGTCGACCGTGACATGTTCCCACGTAACATGTTCGTGTGACGTTGGTCGCATGCATGTTTCCGGCCGGTTTTTGTTGTAGCGGTTTATGCGCTAGGCATTTGGTGCAGTGTCGGACGTAGTTGGTGATTTTCCCAAACATCCCGGGCCAATAAAATTTCTCGGCAATGCGGGCGATGGTTTTCGCGACCTTCCCCTGTCCGGCTGTGGGGGCATCGTGGTAATGTCGGAGGATCTCTCTGCGTTGCTCGCGGGGCACGCACAGTTTCCACTGTTCGTCGGCGGATGTTTCTTTGAAGTTTAAACTATGGAGGATATGGCGGTAGAGCCCGTTGTTCGTGATTCGGTAATCCGGGTGCGCGGCAGGATCGCGTCGGATTTCGGTTAGCAAGCGATTGTACCAGCGGCAATGTATTGTTTGAATTACGTTTACTTCCGGTTTTCGTGAAAGCGCGTCGGCGACGCGGTTTAGCGCTCCTCGTCGGTATTTGATTTTGTAGTCAAATTGCTGGAGCTCGAATAGCCAGCGGGCGAGTCGTCCGGTCGAAGTTTCTAATTTTTGCAACCAGCGTAAGGACTGATGGTCCGTGATGACGGTGAAGGCGTACCCTTCTAGATAATTTCGCATTCTCCGTATGCCCCAGACAACCGCGAGACATTCGAGCTCCGTGGCGCTGTAATTTCTTTCGGCGCTGGATAGCGTGCGACTCGCGTAGGCGATGATGTGTTCGCCGTCCTCGTGATATTGCGTGAGGACGGCTCCGAGGCCGCTGGTACTTGCGGTTAAAGTCCGGGCACGCGAGTACGGGCGCGGTGGTTAACGCTTGTTTTAACTGTCGGAACGCGGCGGCTTTGTCCGCCCCCCATGCCCAACGGGCGTTCTTCTTGGTTAATTGTGTAAGGGGTGCAGCTAGCGTCGAGAAATTCTGTATGAATCGTCGGTACCACGATGCCATCCCGAGGAATTGTCGGATTTGTTTTACCGAGCGGGGTTCGGCCCAATTTGCGCCCGCGCTGACTTTTTCGGGGTCCGTGTGGATTCCGGTACGATCGACAACGTGCCCCAGGTATTTTAGGTTGTCGACGCAAAATCGACATTTGTCGGGGTTTAACCGGAGGCGGGCCTGACGGAGGCGACGGATTACTTCGGCGAGCAAGTCTAAATGTTCGTCGAATGTGCGGCTAATTATAATAATGTCGTCTAAATATACGAATACGTTCGGTTCGAGCGCGGGTCCGATGACGGTGTCGAGCAGGCGCTGGAACGTGGCCGGGGCGGAGTGCAGCCCGAAAGGCATCACCCGGAATTGCATTAAGCCTTTTCGCGGTACGGTGAATGCTGTGATCGGTCGGCTTTCTGGTGCCAAGGGTACTTGCCAGTACCCGCTCTTTAAATCGAGCGTCGTTAGACATCGGGCGCCGCGCAGTTTGTCCAAGGTGGCGGTGACTTGCGGTAGTGGATAGGCGTCCTTCTCCGTGACTTCATTTACTTTTCGGAAGTCGATACAGAAGCGGTGCTTCCCGTCCTTTTTCCGGACGACCACGATGGGTGAGCTCCGCGAGCTTCGGGATGGCTCGATCACCTCTGCTCTCTCCATTTCCTCGACTTCTGCGTCAATAACTGCTTGCATGGCCGGGTTACGTGGCCGATACCTTTGTTTAATGGGTATGGTGCGGATTAAACGTATGTGGTGTTCGGCCAGTGGGGTCGGCCCTGTGACATGTTGGAATTTGTCTAGTTCGTGATTCAAGAAGGCCTCTAACCGTTCTTTCTCTTTCCTCGTGTGGATCGCTAGCCCGCTGGTCTTCCCGCAGACTGGCTGGCGGTTCCAGGCTTGTCGTTGCTGCGGCGGCGAGATTGTGAGCCCCAGGCGGGCCCATAGATCGATCCCGATCAATGCCGCTTCTCGTAGTGTCGGCAGTATGGCGAATTCGTGGATGTAGGTTCGCCCCTGGAATTTGACTAGTAGTTGGACTTTCCTGCACGTCCGAGCGGTAGCCCCAACGGCCATCTGTATGTGTCCGTCTTCCCCGACAGGCTCGGTGCCGAATCTTCTGATTGTTTCTATGGTCTCGGCGTTGACAAACGAGACCTCGAAGCCCGAGTCGAGTAGGGCCTCCACAGATTGTCCGTAGATCGTCGCGGTCGTGGCGTGTATTTGATTAGTTTCTGGGCGTCCGGGATTCGGCCGCGGTCATCCCGGCGCGTCTGGCGTTTCCCGATGGCGGGTGGCAATTGGTAGTAAGGACCCCGTCCTTACCACACTGCGAGCAGAACCGTCGGGGCGGCCGCTTGCATTCGAACTGGGTGTGCCCTCTCTGTTTGCAGCGCCAGCAACACTCCTCCCGGTTATACACGAAAACACCGCTACGGTCGGGATCGTTGCGGTGTTTTTATTCCGGCTGGGTCGTTCCTGCTCGATCCGCTCGAGTTCCGCGGCGCCGTCGAATAGGTCGTCTAATTTCTGTACGTCCCGGCGTTTGACGTACACTTTATATTCTGGCCGCATGTTCGAATATATCCGCGAGAGTCGTTGTTCGCGGGTGAACTCCCCGGCTCGGCGCATGAGCGTCATCATCTTGTCTGCGTATGGCGCGAACTTCTCGTTCTCCCTTTGGCGGCGTTCGGCTATTTGCTGTTGCAGCTCTTCCGCGTATCGTGGAGGAAGGTATCGTCGTCGTACGGCGTTGCAAAAATCCCCCCAGGTCCGCCAGTCCTCGCGGTTGTTCCGCGCCCACGCGACGGCGTCTCCGCGTAGGAGTTCTGACAGGCCCTTTAGCAATTGCTCGCCGGAGTATTCGTAATCCGTGCGGAGGTCTTCAACGCGCTTTAAGAACGCGATGGGGTCGCGCCCGTCGAACGGGCATCCCCATTTCCGTAATTGATTCAGCATTTGAGCTGTGGCGGACGGTTCAAACCCGTAGGTTGCGTCGCGTTGTGCGCTCGGCGATGCGATTTCTATTCGCGGGGGCGTCCGCGTGTTCCGGGCGTCTGGGTCATGTGCCCAAAATTCTTCCGGGTGCGAGTCTACATATTGACTCATCCGGCTGCGAATGACGTCGAGCGTTCCGGTCGTGTCGAAGCCATATGTGATGGCCGTGGCGATAAGTTGCTTTTTCGGGAGCGTATATAACCAGCTTTTCATGCTGGACGGTTATTGACCACGCCGTTAGATAAAAAAAAATCGTGTGTCTCCCGGACGGTCCTACTGTTCAGGCGCCAATGGGCTCGAGAAAGTGGTGAGACACGACGATAGATTTTGGTTGTAAGTTAATCTCTTTATTTGCCTTTTTCGGCAACGGTCAATTACAAGAAGTTAAAACCCGCGAAGCGGGCACGGCGGTGTGTAGGCGCGAAACGTTTGGGGCGCGGTCGCTGTTAGAAGCGCGGTTGAATATACAAATGCGGAAGATACGCAAATTGAACGCAAGGCGTATAATATTGTTGCGTCCCTGCGGGTCGTCTAAGGCGGTTATTCATGAATCTGCTGTATTCGTCTCCGGGAGAACGTTGCTAAGCGTTGTTGTTAAACAACGTCGGACATCTTGGGAGAGATCGGCCATCTGGAGTCTCGCGACGGATGTCATTCCGAGCGGACATATTTGAGATACGATTACCGTTATTACCCGTTCTGTGTTCCTTGTTCAATTGTGTGTCGTCGGTACCACGATGCCATCCCGAGGAATTGTCGGATTTGTTTTACCGAGCGGGGTTCGGCCCAATTTGCGACTGCGCTGATCTTTTCGGGGTCCGTGTGGATTCCGGTACGGTCGACAACGTGCCCCAGGTATTTTAGGTTGTCGACGCAAAATCGACATTTGTCGGGATTTAACCGGAGGCGGGCCTGACGGAGACGACGGAATACTTCGGCGAGCAAGTCTAAATGTTCGTCGAAGCGGCGGCTAATTATAATAATGTCGTCTAAATATACGAATACGTTCGGTTCGAGCGCGGGTCCGATGACGGTGTCGAGCAGGCGCAACGTGGCCGCCGGGGCGGAGTGCAGCCCGAAAGGCATCACCCGGAATTGCATTAAGCCTTTTCCCGGTACACGGTGAATGCTGTGATCGGTCGGCTTTCTGGTGCCAAGGGTACTTGCCAGTACCCGCTCTTTAAATCGAGCGTCGTTAGACATCGGGCGCCGCGCAGTTTGTCCAAGGTGGCGGTGACTTGCGGTAGTGGATAGGCGTCCTTCTCCGTGACTTCATTTACTTTTCGGAAGTCGATACAGAAGCGGTGCTTCCCGTCCTTTTTCCGGACGACCACGATGGGTGAGCTCCACGAGCTTCGGGATGGCTTGATCACCCCTGCTTTCTCCATTTCCTCGACTTCTGCGTCAATAACTGCTTGCATGGCCGGGTTACGTGGCCGATACCTTTGTTTAATGGGTATGGTGCGGATTAAACGTATGTGGTGTTCGGCCAGTGGGGTCGGCCCTGTGACATGTTGGAATTTGTCTAGTTCGTGATTCAAGAAGGCCTCTAACCGTTCTTTCTCTTTCCTCGTGTGGATCGCCAGCCCGCTGGTCTTCTCGCAGACTGGCTGGCGGTTCCAGGCTTGTCGTTGCTGCAGCGGCGAGATTGTGAGCCCCAGGCGGGCCCATAGATCGATCCCGATCAATGCCGCTTCTCGTAGTGTCGGCAGTATGGCGAATTCGTGGATGTAGGTTCGCCCCTGGAATTTGACTAGTAGTTGGAC